TTGAACTTGGACTTAAAGCCTCCAAATTGTAAGAATAAATTCCTGTTTGTTAAGGCCATCCCATTTGTGGTATATTCTTGTCAGAGTGGCACTAGGGAACCAGAACACCCCTATTATATTATATAAATAAATATTGTTCTGGAATTGATCAAGGTCCTGAAGACATTGGGGTTCAGTCAATTCTTTGCAGTTGGAAGTAGAATATATTAAGGCTTTTCTGTATACTTACAAGTGACACTATATACCCCATCTTCTTCTGTTTTGTCACAAATGAAAGAAATTTCGGTACATTCTTTGTTTTTCCTGTAAAACAGAGTGATCTGATGCTCAAGGGAGATTGACAGTGGCTGGCTCCCTCACCTTCTACTCTACCTGTGATGTGAGTTTCCAATTCCACTGAACTCTTGAACATTTCTTGGCATAATTTCCAGTTTTATTTATCTTATTGCCCTTGATTTGATATTTTAAGAATGAGTTAATTTCTTCTATCACTATCATTACCACCACTTGTTGTTGTTGTTTGCTGTCGAGTCGGCCCCGACTCATAGTGACCCCTCCTTTTACTGTTACTACAACTACTTAACTAGATAGTGATCTGAGAGCTTGCTGCATGCCAGCCTCTCAGATACGTGCTTTGCCAACATTGCTTCACTTAGTCCTCACAAAAAGCAGGAAGGAAGAATTATCATCCCCTTTTACCCAAGGAAAATTGAATGCGGAAAAAGATGGATTCTCTCGGTCACACATGTAGTGATAGATTCAAATTCAGGTTACTGATTCCAAGTTCCATTCCATTAACCTATGTTATATTGCTATACTACTTATGATTCTGATACTCCTCTACCCCCTACTTTCCCAACACCCATTTAAATTTACTCCTGTCACCAATCTTGTCTCTGAATCTAGATAAGCCCCACATCTATTAAGCCCTCAGTGCCAGATGAAGGACTCTGGATTTGGACACGGAGTCAGCATGAGTCTGTACTTATGCACTTTGTGTGTGTGTGTGTGTGTGCTTGCATGTTTAGAGGTCCAAAACTATGCCCAAGCTTCCATTTTCCCTCTCCCAGCTAATAAAGGCCATACTTACATTATATGGAAAACAAAGAACAGAGAAGAATTGGCCAAGACATGGATGGATTTCACAAAAACCCTCATGGGACCATTTTCTTCTATCATATCCTTGTTATCTGAGGCCAAGAGAACAGAATACCACTCTCCTGAAACCTGTTATTAAAAAACCAGTAAAATGATTGGAAAAGTTCCGAGAAGAAACACCACATGAACACTCCTCCCCTTGAACTCTGGCCTGTGGCCGAGGACTCATAATGACATCTTTGAACATGATGTGAAAATGGAACTCAGGTCAATTGGCACCACACTCAGGGTTCTTTCTACTGTCCCTCCAGTGAGAATGGAGGTCCCCAAGAATGGTCATCTTTTAATACGGTACAATTGCTCGTAGTCTAAGGTCTGAAAACATCCTTTTGTCTAATATGGCAAAGAACTCCTGCCCTGCAATAAGGCCCACCTGGCTTCAGAATCCTCCTCACCACCCCCACAAACCAGAACTCACTCTCTCCACCAACCAACCCGTACCTTTGTCATATCGAAGTCACTTTTCACAACAAGATCCTCTCCTTCCACGTGAGCACAGACCAGGCTCAGCCCCAGACACAGCAACAGCAGCTTCATCTCGACGCGAAAGCACTGCCTCCTCTCCGGTCGTTGGGAGTAAGTCTTTCCCTAACAGTGGCTCCACTCCTCGGCTCTTCTGTCCTTTTATCTGTTCTGGTTTCAGTTCTCTGGACATGGGGCACTACCCTCCCTCCTCCCACTCAATGAAAGTGTCTCTCATCCACTGGTGTGGGGCCAAGGAGTGTCTGACCTTTTGAAACTTGGCAATCCCATCCCTTTTAGATTTACTTAGTGACCTTAAATTTCTCAAAACACATTCTCAAGAAAAACAGTGGATGTTATAAAGGATTGGCTTTTGAAACCAGATTTAACTATGGATCTGGCTTGGAATCCAATTATATAATTGGAAATCCAGTTGTGTCAGGCTGGAATGGGGTATAGCCAGAAAACAGAATGTGTGGTGAATCTCTGTCCACCACTCACGCAATGCACGGATTTAGGTGAGTTACTCGATTTTTATGAGTCCCAGAAACAACCAACTTGTCTCTAACAAAAATGATACTCAAAAACAATTGAGTCTAATCTAACTCATGTCGACCCCTCCTTAGGTTTCCAAGGTGGTATCACTAAGGAAGTAGATTGCCCAATCTTCCTCTGGAGGAGTGGCTAGTGGGTTTGAACCTCCAGCCTTCTGCTATCTTTGAACATGATATCAGTTAGCAGTCAAATAGGGTTAATTAAAATATTGACTTTAATGTATGATATCTGGTACTTCATTCATCTTCATTCCTTTTTCTTATTATCTGCACCCAACCACCACAGCCTTCAATTAATGAATGAATATTAATCACTATGCATATGCCATTATACCATGGGCTCCACAAGAGGAATGGAGAAGTATAGGGTATCATCCTTTCCCTCAAAGATCTTTCAATGAAGTTTGGGAACTGCTTCAATAGTCAGTAAAAACTTGGGTCATATGCAGTGACCCAACTGAGAGGGACCAGGTTTATGCCATAGGAGAATGGTAAAGTTGGGGAAGCAGGGAAGGTGCCATCATGTCAAAAGCACTTAAGGGCACAGGCTTGGAGGTCACTTGAAGATCCAGGCTTCACTCCTGTAACTCCCGTTCAGAAGCTGTGAGGATAGATTTAATTTGTCTGAGCCTTCATTTCCTCTTAAGGGAATTACACTCGTCTAATAGATTCCTGTAGGAATTCCATGGGGTAGTGTGGCTGCTAGGGTCAAAGAATGCTTCCTGGAAAGCATGGGACTTGGGGTAGGTCTTGAGAGTTAGAGAAGGTGTGGAGATGCAGAGAGCCACAGGAAGAGCATCCGGGTGAGAGAGATGTTGTGAGCCAGGACCCTGTGTCTGAGCTTCCGCTTCGTTTCTGTGCCTACGGGAAGGTAAACCCCTGAAGGTGTGGACATCGATCCTGCTCACCTCTGTAGCTACCGCAACACCCAACGTATATGTTTGTATGCTACTCCTATCTTAGAAGCACTAGGAATTTCGCTTATTAAGAGCAATCTTCTAGAAGATCCTTTTGTAAATAGGAATGTTACTTTTGGGTAGTCTCAATTTATATTATTGGACCACAGGAGTGGAAAGAGAATGCAGAACTGAAGGCTGTGATCAGATGATCTTATCCACTAAAACCTGAATTGACTATTCCCTACTTTGGTTATTCACTTCCATTTCAAATCTACCATGTTTTTGGTAGTCAGCTAAAGCATTGTTAGGAAAACCTGTAAGAACTGAGATAGTAAGGTCCAAACCAAAATCCAAACTCATTGCCATCAAGTCAATTGTAATTCATAGTGACTCCATAAGACAGAGTTGAACTGCCCCATATCATTTCTAAGGCTGTATATCTTTACATAAGCAGACTGCAACATCTTTCTCCCATGGAGTGGCTGGTGGGTTTGAAACCTGACTTTTGGGTTTGCAGCCCAGTGCCTAACCACTGCACCACCAGAACTCCTGATAGCAAGGTCAAGGCTGCAAAAATACCCATGAGGTATGATGCAATCATCTAGAGGCTTAGTGAAATAAAACCCATACAAAACCAAAGCAGAACTAATTAAATCAATCAGGAGTGATGTTTTCCCTTACAAAAGGATTCCCTTTAAAATTACTCCAATACTACACATAAGTATTTGCACTTGGACCTTTGGATTAATGATCTGAAAACACTTTCACAAGTTGTATATGGCTAATAAATATTTATTGTGAGTCAAATGAATATTGGGGAGGATGAAAAATGTAATCACTAACGTTAAAGTGTTTCTCAGATGATATGGTAAGTACATGGACTAAAGATCCAATTTACAAAAGTTCACTTGGTCACCCAGCTACAGGGAATGTATCTATTGTGTAATGCAAAGTGCACAGGTGCGGTGTAGTAAATTACTTAGTGTGGCTTTTCTACCCATAAGTCTTTGTAAACTCCAAGGTGGGATTTTGTATGAGCAACTGAGCAGCCCCTGATTGCTGAGGCTATCCACCTGG